ACAGGAGCCTAGTGGGTGCTAATTCTTCTGTGGACCCATATCTGAGTCCAGGAAACTGGGACCCTAATGATCTGTGCTGCTTCAGGAGCTGATCTTGCAGCTGAAAAGTAGAGGAGAAGCTGCAAAAAGTTATATGCTCTTGAGTATTATTTTAAAAAATCTATAGGGTTTGTAGTACTCTCCACAGTTTACAGAGTGCACTTTCACATGCATTATTTCATTTTAGCCCCACTGAACACATGCTGTGTGCCAGGCATGGGGCCAGATACAAACATGGACAAGGCAGTGCATTTTTTCTTTTCTTTTCCCCCCAAGACAGAGTCTTGCTCTGTCACCCATGCTGGTGTGCAGTGGCACGATCTCGGCTCACTGCACCCTCCACCTGCCGAGTTCGAGCAATTCTCCTGCCTCAGCCTCCCGAGTAGCTGGGATTACAGGTGCATACCACCACACCTGGTTTTTTGTTTGAGAAGGAGTCTTGCTCTGCTGCCCAGGCTGGAGTGCAGTGGCATGATCTCAGCTCACTGCAACCTCTGCCTCCCAGGTTCAAGCGATTCCCCTACCTCAGCCTCCCGAGTAGCTGGGACTACAGGTGCCACCACACCCAGCTAACTTTTTGTATTTTTAATAGAGATGGGGTTTCACCTTGTTGGTCAGGCTGGTCTCAAACTCCTGCCCAGCTTGGCTTCCCGAAGTGCTGGAATTACAGGCTTGAGCCACTGCGCCCGGCCTAATTTTTGTATATTTAGTAGAGATGGGGTTTCACCATGTTAGCCAGGCTGGTCTTGAACTCTGACCTCAGGTAATCCACCTGCCTTGGCCTCCCAAAATGCTGGGATTACAGGTGTGAGCCACCATGCCTGGCCGGCAGTACATTTTTAAAAGGAGCTTCAGTACGGCTGTAGAGAAAAAACAGAAACTGGTACCTACATTTCCAGGTAAAATGAGGTAGGTGCTATAAAGAAGGGGCAGATTCCTGGCTGGGCGCAGTGGCTCACGCCTGTAATCCCAGCACTTTGGGAGGCCGAGGTGGGCGTATCACGAGGTCAAGACGTCGAGACCATCCTGGCTAACACGGTGAAACCCTGTCTTTACTAAAAATACAAAAAATCAGCCGGGCGTGGTGGCGGGCGCCTGTAGTCCCAGCTACTTGGCAGGCTGAGGTAGGGGAATCGCTTGAACCTGCGAGGCGGAGCTTGCAGTGAGCTGAGATCACGCCACTGCACTGCAGCCTGGGTGACAGAGACTCTGTCTCAAAAAAAAAAAAAAAAAAAAAAAAAAAGGCGGGGGGCAGATTCCTAAGACACTTCATTGGAGGATACCACAGCCAGCTAGGCGGGACAGGGGAGGGAGAGAAATCAGGAAAAGTTTCATGATGGGAAAATTGTAGGAGTAAAACCTTAAAGATAGGAAGGGTTTCAAAGATAGAAATAGGCGTGGCAGAGCAGTTTTTTGCTAGACCTCTTCTTACCCAAACCAAGTAAGTTCATCTATTTTCATGTCTTTGACTAGTAGCAGTAGTAAGTGTTCTCTTCAGTATCTACAAAACTCATTTTTTCTCCATCCTTCTGTCTACGCCTTCCTTGGGTGTAGGCTCTCACTATTTCTACTTGTAGAGGATCCTGACAGGCCACTTGCCTCCAATGCGGCATTCCTTTCCAGCTGATTTTCAGCATTACTGTCAGAGGGCAACTTTTACTGGCAGGAGCTTTCTGAAATGCAAGTTTGGTCAAATCCCTCCTCTACTTAAAATCTTTTGATGACCAAACATCTTCTGCAAAATAAAGTCCAAGTCTTGGCAATCAAGGCCCTTTATAATGGGGCCTCTGCCCACCTCTTCGGTTCTATGTGCTGTTCCTTTGACCTGCATCGCCGTATTTGATTTCCTGAAGCCACCATAGTCTCTCCATACCTTATGTGTTATTCCTGCTATAAGGAATGTCTTCCTTACTCTCATTTGCCCAGGCGACTCCTATATGTCTTCAAAATCCAGCTCAAGCACCTCCTCTAAGAAGCCTCCTCTCATTTTCATTAGTTTGGATTTGGGTGTACCACATCTCTGATCCCAAAAGCCCACTTACATTCTTTCTATGTGACATTTAACACAGACTCAAGTATAAACTGTTGGTTCACTTGTCTCTTGTCGCCATTAGACTGTGAATTGCCTAGAGGCAGGAGCTATCTCATTCCTATGTCCCCAGTGCCTAACACAAGGTTTCACAAAGTATAGGTGCTTGATGTTTGTTGGATTTCAGACAGATTATGGCGTGGGCCATACCACAACGGATCTGTAAGGGAACTGATAGGGCTGTCTGGTCTGCCTAGAGTCCAAGGGATACAGAGGGAGCCATACAGACTAACCCTGGAAAAGAGGTTGTGCTGGCTCTTTGAAGGCCTTGGGAGCAAGGCCAAGGAGTTAGGACTTTAGATGGTGGGCAGCGGAGAACCATGACATGTTAGATTATCAGAGCTGACCCAAAGATGGGGAGGATGAATTGGAGAGGGAGAAGGTGGGGGGTGAGAGAAAACAAGCAGCTATTAGCTCTGTTTTATAGAAACAGAGGCTTAAGGAGAATGTGACTACCCAAGACCACACAGCTGGTAAGTGGCAGAACTAGGAGTTGAATGTTAGTTCTGGACTATGCCAAGTTCAGAGATCCTTGTGCCACACCAACAAGGAGTATACAGTAGATCAGGCTTCAAGGTTGTCCAAGTGTGAGAGGGATACTGTATCAGTCAGGATAGGTTATATGGCAGACACAGTACTCAAAATCACTGTAGTTTAACAAAACACAATTATTTTCTATTCACACAAAGTCCACTCGTGCTGGACAAAACCCTTAGGGCAGCTTAGCAGTCTAGGCTGCTTTGATCTGCTAGCGCTCCTCCTCAACACGTGCTTCTGCAATTCCCACAACAGGGAAAGAGTGTTTGGAGAATGAGGCACTAGCTGCATTTCAGAAGGGACACACATTACTTCCTATTATAGGCTACTGCCCAGAACTAGTCCAATAACTCCACTTGACTATACAGGGACTGGGATGCACAGCCTTTTGTGTGTCCAGGAAGGGAAGAGAACAGGAAATATGTGTGGGCAATACTAACGCCTACCCAAGACATCATGGAATGATGCCTATAAGGAAGGAGGCACAGGCCAGTCTGAGGAACCAATGGCAGATGTGCAGGAGAGACTGGTTCTCTCTTCATGGCTGTGGCTGAGCTACAGGGTACATTGTACCAGTGAGTTCTCACCTGTACCAACGTCTGCAGAATTTTGGGAACTACAAGGACAGAGGAGAGGATGACCTCACTCAGATGGTGGTTGGCAAGAGACGTCAGTTGTTTGCCATGTGGGCCTTTCCATAGGGCTGCTTAAGTGTCCCACAGTATGGGATCTGGCTTTCCCCAGGGCAAATGAGGAGATGGGGAGACAGAGAGGAAGAGGGAGGGGGAGGGGGAGGGAGAGGGGAGGGGGAGGGAGAGGGAGTAGAAGCCATGACTTAGCCTTGGAAGTCACATGCTATCACTCTGTCTTTTTTTAATTGGACACACATACCAACCATGATTCGCTGAAGGAGGGGACCACACAAGGGCATGAATACCAGGCAGGGATCATTGGAGGTCATCTTGGAAGCTGCTACAGGGGAGCAGGTAACCAGCAGGGAGCCTCATCTGGAGGGTGGTATCCTCTTAACCCCTTCCTGCTCAGCTCATCGTTCCTCTCTGCCCCTACTGAGGGAGAAGTGAGGGGAAGACTGCAATGACCTTATGAGGGAAGCAGGACCAGTAGAGATGGTCATCTGCAATTTGCAAATGATGAAAGCCAAGGCACGAAGCCTGACTCCTGTGTGCTCCCACAACAGCCTGCATGTGTAGCACCCACAGCCTTAACCATGCCTCATGGATTTTAGGTGTTCATAGGCCCGTCTCTGCCATTGTATATGGCCCCTCACACTCCACGTTTGTCTCCGCAGCACCTGGGCTAGGTACAGAGAAGCAGCCACAGCCTGTTTGGAGGAAGCCAAGCCGGATCTGCTTTCCTCCAGCTGCTTTCCTCTACAGCCACTGCATCTGCCCCAGGGCACAGCTGTGCTGGGTATGAGGAGGCAGGGTTTTTTTTTTTTTTTTTTTTGAGACAGAGTTTCACTGTTGTTGCCCAGGCTGGAGTGTAATGGCACAATCTCAGCTCACTGCAACCTCCGCCTCCCAGTTTCAAGCGATTCTCCTGCCTCAGCCTCCCTAGTAGCTAGGATTATAGGTATGTGCCACCACGCTCGGCTAATTTTGTATTTTTAGTAGAGACAGGGTTTCTACATGATGGTCAGGCTGGTCTCGAACTCCCGACCTCAGGTGATCCACCCGCCTAGGCCTCCCAAAGTGCTGGCATTACAGACGTGAGCCACGGTGCCCGGCCAAGGAGGCACGTTTAAGAGCAGGCCACACTGGCTGGAGGGCATGGTGGGGCGGGGTGGGGTGGGGTAGTCCTGTGGGGTGTGTGAGGAGGGGAGAGAGAGGCTCCCTGGCACTGTTAAAGCACTTCGAAAGGGCAATAGCAGCTTCCTCTGCTGGAGGGAAGCATGCTGTGAGGAGCACCAGGGTGGAATCCGTCTGTGCCTCACACAGTGCCCAGGCAACTCTCTGCTGAGGAAGGCTTTCAGCGGGCAAAGGTCCTCACCGTGCCACACTCCCACCCCCAACACCATCCTGATTTGAACCCAACCTTGGGTGGCATTTCTGTTTTTGTGTCCCAGAATCCCTCCAGAGGCTTCTAGCTGGGCAACTCCTCTTTAGTGTGGCCTGGGGCTGCCTCCTTCTGACAGAACACTTAGAAGAAATTCTCACCTGAAAACCCCACCTGAGACCTGTGAAGTGCCCCACCCTGCAGGCCGCCCCCCATTCTTCCCTGCTGAGGTGAAGCGCTGCCTCTCATCCTGACGGGGCTACACCAGTCCTTCCTTCCCATCCTCGCAGCACCAAAGAAACCAAAACCCACGCCGAAGTATCAGAAACGTGTATTCTTTTTCTTTTAATAGTAAACCTCTTTACAACAAATATAGTGAAAGAGTTTTCAAACAAAACTCATAAGAATCTCGAGGACTTTTGTCTTTTCTTATTGTGTAGAATACTAAGAAAGCATCACCATACAGCACGAAAAGAAATATTGAAAACAAATCAACAGCCTCACACTTGGACTCGCCCTGCCCCAGGAGCCAGGAAGAGCCCCAGGAGTGTGGGTGATTGTCAGGTGTGGGGGCGGGGCACCTCCATGGCCCGTCCTGCCCCTCCCTTCCTCGTCCTCACCACCTCCCTCCCTCTGGGACTTGAATGGGGAAGAGGAGAGAATCCAGAGTCTCCATTCCAGCCTCCCTCCCCCCATACAAATGCCATTCCTTCTACCAACCGGTTTAAGGGGTGGAGAGAGGCAGCAGAGGGGAGAACAAGGAGTTCCCAGGCTCCATGTCTCCTCCCCTCCGCGAAGCCTAAACTTACCCCTCACCCCACCCCAGGGGATTCCAAAGAGTCAGTTAAAAATATATAGAGATATAGATATTTCTAGATACACTTTTACATTTCTGTCTCTCCAAACAAATAAATAATCAGCAAGAGAAGGTGCATTACTTCCTTCCTGTCCAAGGTGGGGAGGGTTGGGAGGGGGTCAGGGGTCAGTCTCGCTGCACCGAGCGTGCTGTTGAGAGGGGAGGATGGTGTGTTCCATTGAGGTGGTGGTGGGGGGTCCTCTTGCCCACTGTCCCTGAAAGCTGTGGGAAACCTGGGGAGGGGAGGGCCATTAGATGACTCCAGTGGTTACTTTGGCAAATGCCCAGTTCTTCAGAGGGAGTGGGTGGAGGCGAATTTGGCTTGAGAGGAAGAAGCCATTAAGTCCCCATCTGAGGTCTGGGTTCCCAGGGACCCATTCATCTGGCCGCCCAGGAGCCCCTACCCCCAAGAGAAACCTTCGGATACTGAACTGCAGAAATGTCACATATTCACAGACCACCCTGTCCCCAGGGACAGAGAAGAAAGGACACAGAAACATCCACACATGGTAATCAAAAGCCAGGTTTGCCTTTATGAGGCAGAGGGCAAAACTGGTGAATATTGCACCGTGAACTGCAGGGGCCCTCACCCCCACCCCGTGTTTAATGGTGGCCAAGCCTAGTCTAGAAAGGTGGGCAGACTAATGGTGGGAATAGCCTGAGAAGGGAAGGCCAGTCATTCATTTATTCAGCACCTATCATTCAACCATTCACCCATTCAGCATTGATTGAGTGCCTACTATGTGCCAGGCACTGGGCGAGGCTCTGGGGATGCATGCATGAACAAGATTACACCCTGGCTTCTTTCAAGCCCTGGATCGAGGCTCATCAGTTTTTGAAACTTCTTCTAGAAGCCTGCAGGGGAGGTGGGAAGGCTGGACGTGCTGCCCCCACCCAGTCAGCGGATTGGGGTTAAGAGTAAGAACGGGGCCGGGCGCGGTGGCTCAAGCCTGTAATCCCAGCGCTTTGGGAGGCCGAGGCGGGCAGATCACGAGGTCAGGAGATGGAGACCATCCTGGCTAACACAGTGAAACCCCGTCTCTACTAAAAATACAAAAAATTTAGCCGGGCGTGGTGGCGGGCGCCTGTAGTCCCAGCTACTCGGGAGGCTGAGGCAGGAGAATAGCGTGAACCCAGGAGGCGGAGCTTGCAGTTAGCTGAGATCGCGCCACTGCACTCCAGCCTGGGGGACAGAGCGAGACTCCGTCTCAAAAAAAAAAAAAAAAAGAGTAAGAACGGATCACTGCTCAGCTGAGGGAGAAGCTTGCTTCACGGAGGAAGAGGGACTTGAGTTTTGCTCTGAAAGCAGGTCTGGGGTTGGAGAAAGAGGGTACTCCAGGAACTGTGTGTCAAGCATGGGCAACTAAGTGGACAAATGTGGGTGGAAGCAGAGGTCCCTGGAGGGAGAGGCCCTGGCAGAGGTAGGGCTGCAGGGAGAAGCACAGAGGGCTAACTGCCCATCCCCCCAACTGCAGTTCAATGCGTCAGAGCTGAGGGTGAACACAGGGAAATGAGCAGGGAAGATGGGAGTTGGGGTCCCAGGGCTGTGGAGCTGGAGCAGCCAACTGTCCCTTTGTAAACACACACCAGGCACACTCAGACTCAGAGATGCTCCTAGAGCTCCAGTCATAGATTTGCATACACACTCAGCCAGGCTCAGAGACACACAGAGGCACACCCATGCAACCACACACACACATAAATACAAAGGTACACCCGTGCAACCAGACACACACACGCACACACACATAAATACAAAGTTACACTCAGACACATAAACACCAGATGCCCTCATGAACACACTCAGGTACACGTGTGTACCTGCACAGAGGCCCCTCTGCTTCTGGTTCCTTCCCTGCATCAAATATGGGAATACTGCAAGAGGCTGGGTCATAGAGGCGGGCAAAGACGGTCGGCTAACACAAAACTGGGCCTTGTCTAACTCTACTCTCCAACTGGGAGGAAACCCCAAGGGAGCACCGCACCCCTTGGGCAGAGGAGCTGGGCTTGTGTGAAGGAGTGGGGTAGACAGTCTGCCTGCATACGTCACCCCAGGCCAGGCCCCTTAGGGCGGGGGGTGACCCTAGAGAGCAGGCTGGGAGCCTGCCCACTCTGGTTTGATCTCCGATCCTGCCTGAGGTCTCAGGACCCCGTACTTCGGCTGCCCCTGGGCCCCTTGCCCACTGCCCCGCTGAGGAGGCAGCAGAGAGGGGCGGACTCAGAGGAGGGGAGGGGAGCAAGAACAACAGCAGAAGAATCTCATCTGTACAGTACGGGCCGTTTGAGTCATTATTATTACAATATACTTTGACAAAAATAGAATCTCATTTCATATCAATACAACAACAACAACAAAAAACAGTTTCCTGGACTGTTACACCGCTAACGTTTTCCAAAGGTCGCTATTTACAATTACAGTAGCCAAGAGGGAAGGTGGGATGCGGCCTGGAGGTGGTGGGACAAGGAGGTAGCCAGAGACAATGGGGGTGCCAAGAGCAAGGAGGCGGGGTCAGGAGCAGAAGGAGCTAACAGGAGAAGCTAGGGAGAGGGGCCAAGGAGGAATGAGAGAGGTGGGACCTCTACGGACCCATCCGTAGGACCTCCCACCCCACAGACCATCCCAGTGCCCACTCACCCAGGTAGTGTGTGTGCAAGGCCAAGGACGTCCCCTCACCACACTCGCCCCGATGAAACAGCTCTGGCCTGGAGCACCCCAGGGAAGTCCAGGCCGACTCTCGCCCCAGCCACCTCACTGAAGACCCTCTCCCCATTCTCCCTGCACATTGTGGCCAGCTTTACAGGGCTGGTGTCAACTGAGGGGTGGGGAGCTATTGCACTGTATATCTTAGAGAAAAGCTGGGGAAGGGAGGGGCCCAATTTGCCCCCTGCCTAGCCCTTCTGCCCTCCTCAGCCCTCTCCTCATGGCTCTCTGTCTTTCTCTCCAAATGTGCTTCCAGAGAGGCCCCCACCTCAAACCCCTGTCCCTAGCCTCAGATTCCCAGGCTGCCGTCCCAGCCCAAAGCTCAGCCAGCACCCACACACCTTGGGGGTGCAGCACACACAAGAATCAGCACAGGTGTGGCATGTGTGTGTGCAGGGGCATTTGGGGGCCAGGCTTAGGTCTTCTGCTCCATGTGCCTATGGCTACATGAACCCAAAAACAGAGACCCTTTTCAGAACCTCTGCCTCACTTTCCCCTTGAAACACAAACCCACCCATCAAGCCCACTTTGGGGTTTCAGTCTAGAGTGTGGGTTTCTGTTGTTTGGTAGTTTTTTGGTTATTTCCCTCTATCTGGGGGTGGGGTGGGAGGGCTCCACATGCAGGGCTCGGCACCTGTCCTTTCCCAAAGGCCTACTGGGCCCCCCACCCCCTTCCTGCAGCATATGTGTACAACGTGCAAAGTGTCCCCCCTTCCCGCGAAAAAGAGAGCCCCCCAGCCAGTGAAAATGGTGGGGGGTACAGAAAGAGGGGATGAGAGCATCCCCCTCTCCAAAGCGAGAATCCAAATTAAAAAAAATATAATAATAATAATAATAATATAATAATTATACACAAATGTAACCGTCAACAGGACACGGAGCACAAGAAAGGAAGTGGGGGTCGAGCGGGAGGAGCCCGGGGCAGGGAAGGGCGGGCGGTGAGATTGTCAACTCTTCATCAGGGAGGTTGAGAGGAGGGGAGTGGGAATCGTCACTTTAATGTCTGTGAAGAGAGGAGATGGAGAAGGGGGTGTGAGGGGGTGGCCCAGGCTACGGGTATGCACCCCCCACTCCCCTCTCCCCATAGGGCCAGGATTCTAGTGGCAGGGCCAGCTGTGAGGGGAGGAAGTCATCGAGCAGAAGGACTAATGCTGGAGGGAGGGAGAAGATAGGCCTTTGGCAGGGGTGAAGGGGTGTTGGTGCTGCCCTAGAAGGGCTGGCGGAAGGGCTAGCCGGCCACAAGGCCTCTTGGGTGGGAAATAAAACAGGTTAGGGGGCACGTGGGGCAGTCCCTGGGTGTAGCAGACACGCAGACAGGAGAGGTGATGCTACAGTACCCAGGTATCGAGCCGCATCCTCTTCACAGCTGAGCCCTCAGCCTCAGGCTCTGGGGCTGGGCGCAGCAGGCCCAGTGTGGGCCCGAAGTCCCCCCGTCCGTCATCCCGGTCCCCCGTCTCATAGGATCCCCCGGCTGGGCTGCTGAGACCATCACCAGGCTCAGGGCGGGCAGCTGGGAACACAGCTGGAGGGGGAGGCGCAGGGCTGCGCTCACGGCTTGGGGACACCGGTTCTGACTTGATGCTGATGTGGGGGTGGGTGGTGACTGTGAGGGCAGCACCCACGTGGGGCAGGGGGCTGCCCGGGCTGGAGGCAGGCAGTGGAAATGGGGTACAAGGGATAAAGACAGAGGGGGTGAGTGACAGAACAAGGGATAGGACACCAGACAGAAAGTGAGACAGAACAGAGGATGAGAATGTGGGGAATGGGGTATTGGGGAGAGGTAATTGGATGGAAAGTGATCAGAAGAGGGTCGAATGAAGGGAAGAGAAGGGAAATAAGAAATATTAGTTTTCTTTCCATCCCATGTCATCTTCTGCAACCCAGGGCCCCCCACCTCCCACCCTCTACCCTGGGGCTGGCTCTCAGAAGGGGTTCAGGGTGAGCCTCTTTGGTCTATACAAGAGACCCCAGGGGTGCCACTGTTGTCTAACAGACTGTGCAGTGCACAGCCTCACAGGATGTCCACCAGAACCCTGCAGGCAACCCAGCTCCCAAGAGGCCCCTCCTCTTCCCACTCCTCAATTCTCCCTTCCCACACACTCACATGGAGTCTCCCTAGGACTCACATGAGGTTGCTGAGAGATACAGGGACCAGGTGAGACTGTTGCTGAGGTGGCTGTTGCGGCTGCTGAGGCTGCTGTGGCTGTGGCTGCTGTGGCTGCGGTGGCTGCTGCTGTGGAGGCTGTGGCTGCTGCGGCTGCTGGGGCTGCTGTGGCTGTTGCCAGGCGGTGACGTTGCCTAGCGACAGCCCCCCAGGCGAACTGAAGGCTGGTAAGGAGGAGAGCTCTGCACTGGTCAACTGGTAATCTGCATGGAGGAAAAGTGAGGATGAACCTGGAGTTGGGGAGAGCACAAAGGCTCCTATGAGGGAGCTGCCTCCAGGAAGACGGTGGGGATAAGGGGACAGGGAGTGTGTAATGACAGATGTAAAGAATTCAAGAAGACCACAAAAATTCAGTGAAGATGGTACTCAGAGTTAAAGAAACCTAAGTCATAATAACCATGAGGTGCTGTGTTTTAACAGGATGAAAAAAATGTGTTTTTTGTTTTGTTTTTTTGAGATGGAGTCTCACTCTGTTGCCCAGGCTGGAGTGCAGCAGTGCAATCTTGGCTCACTACAACCTCTGGCTCCCAGGTTCAAGCAAATCTCCTGCCTCAGCCTCCTAAATGGCTGGGATTTCAGGCACATGCCACCACACCCAGCTAATTTTTGTATTTTTAGTAGAGATGGGGTTTCGCTATGCTGGCCAGGCTTGTCTCAAATTCCTGACCTCAAGTGATCCACCTACCTCAGCCTCCCAAAGTGCTGGGATTACAGGCATGAGCCACCGCGTCTGACCAAGGTGGTTTTTTTGGGTTTTTTTTTTTTTTTTTTTGAGACAGAGTCTTGTTCTGTCCCCCAGGCTGGAGTGCAGTGGCACCATCTCCGCTCACTGCAAGCTCCGCCTCCCGGGTTTACGCCATTCTCCTGCCTCAGCCTCCTGAGTAGCTGGGACTACAGGCGCCCGCCACCACGCCTGGCTAATTTTTTGTATTTTTAGTAGAGACAGGATTTCACCGTGTTAGCCAGGATGGTCTCAATCTCCTGACCTCGTGATCTGCCCGCCTCGGCCTCCCAAAGTGCTGGGATTACAGGCGTGAGCCACCGTGCCCGGCCAAGGTGGTTTTTAAAAATAGTGTTGAACTTAAAAAAAAAAAAAAAAAAGTCAGCTGGGCGAGTGGCTCATGTCTGTAATCCCAGCACTTTGAGCGGTCAAGGCAGAAGGACCACTTGAGCCCAGAGTTTGAGACCAGTCTGGGCAACATAAAGAGACTCCACCTCTACAAATAACTTAAAAAGTAGCTAGGTGTGGTGGCATGCACTGTAGTCCCGGCTATTCAGGGGGCTGAGGCAGAAGACTTGCTTGAACTTGGGAGGCTGAGGCTGCAGTAAGCTATGATCATGCCACTGCACTCTAGCCTGTGGGACCCTGTTTCAAACAAACAAACAAACAAAAATCATGTGTAGGTATCACTTTCATAACAACAATTTAAGGCCGGGCGCGGTGGCTCAAGCCTGTAATCCCAGCACTTTGGGAGGCCGAGACGGGCGGATCACGAGGTCAGGAGATTGAGACCATCCTGGCTAACATGGTGAAACTCCGTCTCTACTAAAAATACAAAAAACTAGCCGGGTGAGGTGGCGGGCGCCTGTAGTCCCAGCTACTCGGGAGGCTGAGGCAGGAGAATGGCGTAAATCCGGGAGGCGGAGCTTGCAGTGAGCTGAGATCCAGCCACTGCACTCCAGCCTGGGTGACAGAGCGAGACTCCGTCTCAAAAAAAAAAAATAAATAAAAATAAATGAAAATAAAAAAAAAACAATTTAAAAAATAAGAGGATGGAAAAACGTTAAGTAGAGAAGGTCTATGTCTAACTGTCGTCTTTTTTCACCTGGCAAGTCTCCAACTGCCTTTTTTTATTTTTTTGGTTCAGTCTCTGTAGAGACTGTCAAAAACTGCCAATGCCAATTATATTTCAAGTCATCTTGGTGGGTACTGGTAAAGTTTTCAATTAGCAACTATAACACCTTGAATAAGCCTCATTGACTATGATATCCCACTGCCCAAAGCTCCAATTGCCTTTCTAAGGTAGTGGGGAGCCCTGGTAAAAGCTTGGTGAATAGGGCTTCAGAGGCAAATCCCTGCAACTACTATTCCACCTCCGGCACAGCCCCCAAGCCTCCTCAACTGTCAATACCTAAAATTTATAGCAGCAGGGTTTGAGCTGCTGTGCCCACACACACATGTAAACATAGAGGACACAAGTTAGCCCCTGAGGCCTCATGCCCATGGGGCAGAGGGGCTGCAAGGGCACCATGCTGGGAGCACAGCTGGTCAAGGTTCCAGCAGATATCCCCATGAGGGGGTGTTTACGACGTCATAAAACGTCTACCTTAAAGAAGAAACTGATGTTTGCACTGTCACAGAATACATAGAATCACGGAATGTTTCATAATTTACACAGCACTGTTGTTTCATGCTGTATTCTGTTTGGGAGAGTTTAGAAAATGTCCTCCGTGGACATTTTCAAGACCAGCCTGGCCAACATGGTGAAACCCCATCTCTATTAAAATACAAAAAATTAGCCAGGCGGTGGCGTGCACCTGTAATCCCAGCTACTCGGGAGGCTGAGGCAGGAGAATTGCCTGAACCTGGGAGGTGGAGGCTGCAATGAGTGAAGATCGCACCACCACTGCACTCCAGCCTGGGCAACAGAGTGAGACTCTGTTTCAAAAAAAAAAAAAAAAAGAAAGAAAGAATTTCTGAAAGAAAGAACATGTCCTCCCTGAGGCTGCACTGTGGTAGTGGGAGGGCTGTGATGGGGAACGCACCCCTCAATCATCCTAATACTCCACCACTATGCCATTACTCAGCGAGTCATTTGCTCCAGCCCTCTGTTTTTATGCAGGGAAGATAGTATTATCTCTGCAATATAGCAATAAGGTTAAAGGCATGAGCTATGAGGTCAAACTTCCAGGCTACCTCCACTTAGGCCATGTGACCTTGGGTAAGTTACTTACTCTGACTATAAACTGGAGGTAATAATCCTACCTACATCACACAGCTGTTGTGAGGATTGAGCAAGTTGGTACACAAAAAGCATGTAGAACGGTGTCTGGTTCATAGAAAATAATCAAAAGATTTACCTATTATTACTTTACAAATGAGGCAACTGCAGCCTCAAGTTTGAGGAACAGGCTCCAGGTCATGGAGCCAGCCAGTGGCAGAGATAAGACAGGACTCCAGGACTCTATTACCTTTCAATCTCACTCTAGAGGGGGATCTGTGCTTGGCTGTAGTTTCCTGACGTTGGCCAGGAGTTTTGAAATGCTTATTTAAAAAGCAGAGCAAGGGCAGAAACAGGCCCTAGAATCAACTATTTCTTTTTTTTTTTGGAGACAGAGTCTCGCTCTGTCACACAGGCTGGAGTGCACTGGCGTAATCTCGGCTCACTGCAACCTCCGCCTCCCGAGGTCAAGCGATTCTCCTACCTCAGCCTCCCAAATAGCTGGCATTACAGGCGCACACCGCCACGCCCGGCTAATTTTTGTATTTTTAGTAGAGACGGGGTTTCACCATGTTGGTCAGGCTGGTCTTGAACTCCTGACCTCGTGATCTGTCCACCTTGGCCTCCCAAAGTGCTTGGATTACAGGCGTGAGCCACCGCGCCCAGCCAGAATCAATTATTTCTAACACTTGTTTTACAAACTAGGAAGCCAAGCCCAGAACAGTGCAGCCCAAGGCCCCTCAGTGAGTGAATGGTGGAGACTAGCTCCCAGCCCTGCACTGTCCCACCAGATTCCAGCCCTATCTACTGGGAGGCTTGGCTCCCCAAGGAGGAGCATGGCCCAAGGCCACCTGGCAGCCTACTGGTCTGCTCCCAGAGCCACCACAGCCAGGCCTCTGCAGCCAGTGTCAACAAAGGGCCAGGCCCTCACATGAGGCATTACCATAGCCCGATTACCCCCAGCCGGAACTTGAACTGCAGCCAAGGACTGTAAACAGTGAATAACTAAACAGCAATGTGTTCACTGGGGTTTTGTTTATATACCTAGGGTCACCTGAAAACACCTGCTGTTTAAACTGAGATCTGCTTAGCTGCTCCTGTAACAAGAGGAAAGGGAGCCTGTGGTCTCTGAGAGAAGATGAGAAATCTCACACACTTCCCAGCAGGGCTCCAAGGGTGGCCCAGGGGCAGAAACTGCTTTCATACCAGAGTGACAGATGAGAATCTTTAAGTCTAGCCTTCCTGAGTGCCTGTCCCAGGTTGGCTGACACCAACTAACTTTCCTCCAGCTTCACAAAGACTGTGGGCCCAAGAAGATGTCAGAAAAACAGAAAACCACCCTCACAGAGTCCCTGATAAACAGCTCCAGAAAAGTGGTCTAAAAAGTGATCTGAGGTGCCCTCTGCCAACTGTCACTGTCCCTAGGCCACCCCACCTTCAGGGCTGGTTTTTTTGGTTGGGCCCCAGAGGCCCAGTGGCAGGGCTGGAAAAGCCTCATAGACCTCCTGTCTACCCACTCCTCTTACAGATGGGGAGACGGGCCCACAGGGTGTGTCTTCTGAAGCAGCCGTCTCTGAAGTTGCCAGACCATAGTAGCCTGGGGCTGGGCACACACATGGGTGCACATGCAAGGGAGAAGGGGCTCACAGACACCTGGGTAGTAACTATACACAGACATACAAGCCAGAGTCTGGTCCCTCAACATGAGGCAGTCCCTCCAGCTCTCTTACCTGCCACGAGGGGCTTTCCTATACAGAGGGCTGGGTTCTGGATTTTTCTTTTTTTTTCTTTTTTTGAGACAAGAGTCTCACTCTGTCACCCAGGCTGGAGTGCAGTGGTGTGACCTCGGCTCACTGCAACCTCTGCCTCCCAGGTTCAAGCAATTCTCCTGCCTCAGCCTCCCGAGTAGCTGGGACGATAGGCACATTCCACTACACCCAGCTATTTTTTTTTTTTTTTTTGAGACGGAGTCTCACTCTGTTGCCCAGGCTGGAGTGCAGTGGCGTGATCTCGGCTCACCGCAACCTCCGCTTCCCAAGTTCAAGTGATTCTCCTGCCTTAGCCTCCTAAGTAGCTAGGATTACAGGCACATTCCACTATACCCGGCTTAATTTTTTGTATTTTTAGTAAAGACAGGGTTTCACTGTGTTAGCCAGGATGGTCTCGATCTCCTGACCTCACGATCTGCCCACCTCGGCCTCCCAAAGTGCTGAGATTACAGGCATGAGTCACTGTGCCCGGTCTTTTTATGTTTGAACTTTTCCTTTTTTTTTTGGAGGGGGAGTCTCGCTCTGTCACCAGGCTGAAGTGCAGTGGTGCGATCTTGGTTCATGGCAACCTCTGCCTCTCAGATTCAAGTGATTCTCCTGCCTCAGCCTCCAGAGTAGCTGGGACTATAGGTACATGCCACTACACCCAGCTTATTTTTGTATTTTTAGTGGAGACAGGGTTTCACCATGTGGCCAGGATGGTCTCCATCTCTCGACCTCATGATCCGCCCCCCTCAGCCTCCCAAAGTGCTGGGATTACAGGTGTTAGCCACCACACCCGGCCTGGGTTCTGGATTTTTACACGTGGGGAGGAGGTGGGATTTTGTGGGTATTTGCACTGGTGTCTGGTACCTAGCATGGTGCAACTCTGGGAGGCTTGGGGAAGGGGGAGAGGTTTATGGGTCTTTTGGTCCAGACTAAACTCATCATAGGAACTGGCCTGACATAACCATTCACATGTGAGAGAACCTGAGGAAGGCAGAGGTCTCTAGCTGGAAAGAGCCCAGGTTCCCCAGCCACATGAATGCTCTGAAACCAGGGGACAAGGCATTTCCTTACTGCCAAGTCCTTCCTGACACAGCGGCTTAAGAGTACAGGCAAGGATGGCTGAGAGTATCACAGACTGTTCCGGTGCAGGTGCGAGCGGGTGACACAGGCCAGGATGGCCCTAGGGACTCAGGACGGCCTGGGCACTGGGCGTCCTACCTGAATTCTTCTATCCAGAGACCTTTCTCATGTCCTTAAGTGACTCTTTACCTTCAGATCCCCTTCTCCAACCTTCCTCCCTCTTCCTCCTTCCCTCCCCCATCATCATTCCACAACCATGCCAAAATTAGAGAGACGCTTTTCTTCCCCCTCCGCCTTGCCCTGGAGCCCCCATTTGGCTTTCCCAGGAAGCTGGCAAACTGACCCTGACTGTGTTTTCTCTCTGGCCTCCTCAGCCTCCTTGATCTTTTCTCCCTCATTCCTTCATTCTCTTCCAGGAAGCTTTTCTGAACTGACCATGTCCCCCTCACCACTCCCCATACCTGGAGCCTAGAGATTGGTCAGCCTGAATCATCTGCAGACCTGCCTCTGTCCTGTCTCCTCCTCAGGCTGCAGGCTTCCTGAGGACAGAGGCTCCCTCCTCCATTAAGTACTATTTAAAAAATAAACAATGCTGGCCAGGCACGGTGGCTCATGCCTATAATCCCAGCACTTTGGTGGATCACTTGAACTCAGGAGTTTGAGACCAGCCCAGGCAACATGGCAAAACCCTGTCTCTACTAAAAATATAAAAATTAGCTGGGCATGGTGGCGCGTTCCTGTAATCCCAGCTACTCAAGAGGCTGAGGCATGAGAATCACTTCAACCCAGGAGGTAGAGGTTGCAGTGAGCCAAGGTCACAGCACTGCACTCCAACCTGGGTGACAGAGACTGCCTTAAAAAAAAAAAAAAAAAAAAAAAAAAAAAAAAAAAAAAAGGCCTAAATTTGACTCTCAGATGAAACAATGCATAATTTGTTAGCATAAGTATGTCTTTGGTGCTGGGCACAGTCGGTAACACAGCACTTTGGGAGACTGAGGCAGGAAGACTGCTTGAGACCAGGAATTTGAGACTAGCCTGGGCAACAGGCAGTACAAAAAAAATTTAAAAAGAGCCAGGCATGGGGGCATGTGCCTGTAGTCCCAGGTACTCAGGAGGCTGAGGCAGGAGGATCACTTGAGCCCAGGAGTTCAAGGCTGTAGTGAGCTAAGATGGCACCACTGCACTCCAGTCTGGGTGACCGAGTGAAACCCTGTTCCAAAAAAGAAAAAAAAAAAGAACCAAAAACCCAAAAATAAAATATGTCTTTGGGACATACATTAGCAGAAGAATGTTTTTGGGACATACTTGTACTAAAAAACTACTTATTTTATCTGAAATTTGAATTTAAAAGCATTCTTTGCTTTTATTTGCTAAATCTGTTAACCATAATTAGGTGCAGGCTCCCCCAAATCAATGGCCCTCCTCAGATGGGGCCTGTCCGGGGGATAGCTAGCATTTCTGTCTGGCCACTGCCTGCCCCAAGCCCAGGCGCACACATGCACATGTCACATGAACACTCACCTGTGTTGTAGGCAGTGGGCATGGAAGAGAAGGGGAGGCCCTGGCTGAGTAAACTCGGCGTTGCCACAGAAACCACTGGGGTGGTGAGCGAATGGGTAGACTGGGAGACCCCAAGGCGCTGGGCATTGTTCTGTAGGAGAAAACTGTCTGTCAGGAGGTGGCTGATAGGTGGGCAGCTTCATGCTGGCCCTCCATCCCGAGGCCAAGGTGGGGTCCCTGAATCCCAAAGCCAAGGTGGGGTGTCTTAGCACGGAGTCCCCCACAGACACACAAAGACACGCTGGTGCATTCACAGAGACACTCAGATCCATGGAGGGAAACATGCACACAGAGATTCACTGACACTAACACACGTGCAAAGATAAAGGCACGTGTGCTGGCCCTGTGGCCCCAGCACTGACACTTGCCCAGCCTCCCAGTGCAGAGTGAGGGAAGGGAGACATCGTCCATGCCCTGTCCCTCTGGAGCCCACTCTCCATCCATCACACTGCAGCACACGCCCCGGCAGAGGCGTGCTGGCATCTGCGAGGGGAATGTGGGGCCTGGCGTGGCGTGTGCCTGCGCGTATGCACACACGTGTGTGGGGCTGTCAGCTCCATCTGCCGCTGAGTCACTTGTTTATTCCAACTCCACGCTGGGGCCGAAACTGCCGCCGTGTTGGCCGCCAAAGCCTGCCTGCCTTTTCCAGCCTCTCTGGCCTCCCGTCAGGGAGATGGGGAGGGAGGAGCCCCCGCCCCACTCCTGGCTGGGGGTGAGTATGTAAGTGTGTGAGAGAGAGGAGGAAAATGAGCAGCTGTGCATGCCTCTGAGTGCCCGTGCCATGGGCTAAGTGCAGGAGGAAGCACAGGGAGACAGGGGAGGTGGGAAGCCCCCACCAAGAAGGACAAGTCCAGCCTGGTCCTGGGCCTTGGCTTCCTCTGAAACACTGACTTCTCCTTCCAGCTGACCTCCCTCCTAAGAAGGATCCTGTCCTGGATCCCAAGAATGCAGTATGGGCCTGAGTGGAGTCAGAGGACTAGTGGGATCCAGTCCCCTAGTCCAGGGCCTAGTACAGGCATCAGGGTGGGGCCTCTGAGTCCTGGGCTGGCCCACTCCCCCTCGCACACACACATACAGAGAAAGGCATGTCTGAATGAATGTAACACCACATGCAGATATTCATGTACACACAGGCACACACACACACGCGCCTGACCTCTCACCCCCGCCCCATTCACCTCTGAATCCCACTTGGCACCTAAGCACAGCTCCTGGCAACTAAGCGAAGAAGCAGCAACAGTCTGCGCACAGGCGAGAGGCCAAGGATGCACACGTACTTCATGCTGAGGGACCGTAGAGCAATACCCAGAATTCAAAGCCACAGCAAACAGCTCACAGCCTCACTTACCAGATCTAAATGGTCCTCAGTCTGAGAGCAGAAATAAAACCAAGGGCATGTTCAGTCTCTGGCCACTGCCCTCCCCCACACCTCTGTCCCCACAGCCGTTAAGAGTCACTTCTCTGCATAAGAGTAGGATGGCTCTACCCAGCCTACAAAGGCAGAGTCACTGTCCTGACTGATTTCCAGAGACGCTCCATCCCAATCTCTACCATTTAGGAAATGCTCACAATCTAATCCCCCATCCCTTCTGCTGTAGTGGCAAATCCTTTCTATGATCCTCCCCATCACAGAACCTTCTCTCTCACCTCCTGTCCCTTTTTAGTGCCTTAGGCTGGTACTTCTTGTGTTGCAACCTCTTAAAAGGCCCTCTGGGAAGAAAAAGCTCATAAAAAGTCATGCTTCCATGATCTCTCTCGGGAAGTCCTAACTGCTGGCTAGCCTTCATCTCTCCTGCTAGAGGTCTGCTCTTTCCCCTGTCCCTACTCTTCCATTCCCCAGCCCCCACCCTTGGCGCAGACACCCACTTACCAAGTGATGCATTAACCCCTTTCCTGCCTGGGAAGTGATAACTCGCAGGTCGGGCTTGCGGCTGGGGGCTCCAAGCTGGGTGCCGTGGGTGGGTGGGGGTGGAGACTTGGCAGGGATGACCTTGTTTAGGCTGTTGCCATTGGCCACAGGGAGGAGGCCAGGGGAAGCCCGAGCACTGACGTAGCCATTTCCTGGAGAAGTGACAACATGAGGGTAAAAGGAAAAACATGGGCCTACCCTTCAGCCCTGTTAACTTCCCCACACCAATACTCCTGTCACCTGGAACCTCTCAAAGCCACACTCAGGCTTTGAGTAGGGGCTGAGCTATCTGATATTCCCTAAACACTTCATGTCTTGGGAATAATGGGAGGCAAGTACCCCTTACTCCTGAATCTTTAGGTTCATTTCCCTAACTCCAAGCTACATGTGATGGGACTCGGTGATGGGACTCTGAGGTCCATGGGAAGAACTGGAAAGCAACCATTGCCTCTAGGCTCTGCGACGGCCAAGAGGTTCTTCTGTACCCAAGCCTCTCCCTGTCTTCTCTCTTCTTTAGTCGCCACAGGCAGGAAGTCCAGCATTTTGAGATCCCACAGTCTCCCCCAGACAGGACCCACCATGACCAGGATGTGGAAGGGGCGGCAGCCTGGAATCTGGGCCTCACTGAGAAGCCTGGTCACCATGACAAACCAACAACCACTCGGACTGCTCCATTTGCCGTGAGCTGGGGGTGGATGATGTGATTTGGATCAACACGTGACAAGTTGCCAACAGCTTGGGAGAAACAAGCCATTCACTGTTGGTGATGGTGTTATTGGCACTGGGAGACAGATAACACAGCCACCACCATAATTAGCCTGGTAATAACAAATGTAATAACCATCTTTTATATCTGCTCCATATTCTACAATCACACAGGCCTTTCACACATGTATTATCTTATTTAATCCTCACATTAACTCTGCAAGACAGACTGGACATTAGCCCTGTTCACAGAAGAGGAAACTAGAGCATGCTTGGGAGAAGTATAACGACTTGCCCAGGGCCACAAAGCTGGCTGGAGGCCAAGTGAGTGCTCTCTCCCACTTTCCACATGCTGGACTCAAGGGTCTCTATGTATCACTGCTCCCTTGAGGTCTACAAGCATTTCTCTGACCTTCTCCTTGAAGAGGGTGACACTCACCAACTCCTTTAATTTCCTGACCCTGTGACACAATTATCACCAGGGAGGTATTACATAGTGCCCCAAAACTGAGCTGGGGGATGCTGAGGTCCAAGGATGTGAGGGTGACCACAGTCAGAAATGCCTCCTTGCTCTGTCCCCTAAGAGCACACTGTTGCTCTGGAAGTGTGTGCCTGCCTCCATCCCAATTCCGGGATCACTCTGGGAATGGCAGGAATGTCAGGGTGACGTCAATCATGACATTCGAAGTCACAGTCACCCAGCCGGACAACGGCACAGGGTAGGAGGGGCTGTCGGCTGCCAGGGGTGGGGGACAGCCGACAGCCTTTCTTCTGTGGCTTATTTTTTTATTTTTTATTTTTTTGAGACGGAGTTTCGCTCTTGTTGCCCAGGCTGGAATTCAATGGCATGATCCCAGTTCACCATAATCTCCACCTCCTGAGTTTAAGCGATTCTCCTGCCTCAGCCTCCCGAGTAGCTGGGACTACAGGCATGAGCCACCACATCCGGCTAATTTTGTATTTTTGGTAGAGATGGGGTTTCTCCATGTTGGTCAGGCTGGTCTCAAACTCCCGACCTCAGGTGATCCATCCACCTCAGCCTCCCAAAGTGCTGGGATTACAGGCGTGAGCCACCACGCCCAGCCTCTTCTGTGGCTTATGTATGTGTGCTCACAAGTGCACATCTAACATCTGGATACTTCTGTAAGAGGGAGAATGCACGTATGTGTGTGAGAGACTGTGTGAGTGTTTACGTGAGTCTGTCCCTATTGTTTGTCTGGGCAACGCCCGGCATTCTCATCTTCCAGATTCCAACCACACTCAACTGCAAAAACTTGGGTCTTCCCCTCCAACTAGAAATGCTGGCCCATTCTCACAGTTTGCCCAGAATTCCCTGAGCCTCCATCTCTGCTGATCATCCACACCAATCACTGCTACAGAAAACAAAATCCAGGGGCTTAAAAATCTCTAACTGATCTTCATCCAGTTCTGGCTCTTGATCTTCCTCTCCTTTCATCTAGGTCCTTCCTGGTCCTAGGACCCAGTCCTGGTCCTTGGACCCCCTGAGGCCACTGAGTGGGCACCCCTCCCCACCTCCAGGTAGAAGGATAGCTGCACTCACCGACAGGGCTGGGGCAGGCTCCGTTAGCACTGTTCAGGTCACCCCCTAGCATGGCCCCTGGAGGAAAAACAGAACCAGGATGAGCTGACAGCACTCCCCCTTCAAGAGTGAGTCTTGGGGACTGAACATGAAGAGATGACCCCAGGAGGAAGAATCATACTCCCTTCCCTCAGGAGTCACACAAATGGGAGAATGCTGTGGTAGTGAAGAGAAATACTGGCCGTTGAAAATGGAATCCCAAAGTCCCCATCACATCTCATTTCCACCTCACCTACCCACCTGCCAGCCCACTCACCTGCACTAGCTGGCCGCTGGGGCAGACCAGGAGACACACTGTTCCTCTGTAGTGCTGGCTGCTGGGGGGACAGGAGCCGCGGGTCCGTGAGGGATGACGTCACCAGGGAAGGGGTGACCAGGGAGCCGCTGGGATTGCTGAACTGCAGTGAGCTCTGATTGGACACGGGCACCGTGACAGGCATGGCAAAGTTGGGGGCCGGGACAGCTGACTAGACAGAAAGATGGAGGGGCAGGATCAGGCCAGGTCGACCCCTTCCATGGATCCCACTTTTCCTGGGAGGGCAGGCAAGGGTTCTTCTCATTTCCAGGCTACACGTCCTAGGGCCAGCAGTTCAAGCTCCCTGCCCTGTGCCCTTGTGGAGTCCTGCCTGCCACTCCCAACAAGGAAGGACTTTGGGGAGAAGCTCTGGGTCCATTTCTGGCCCAGAGAATGAGAACAGGGCTCTGCTCACTGCAGACAGGACCAGGGACACCCCCTAATGGAGGTGGGTTAGTCCTCAGCCAGGCAGGACACACGGGGAGTAGGTTAGAGGCCCTGAGAACAGACCCAGATTCACACACACGGCTGTTAAAGGCTTGTGCCACAAGTCGGGACATCATTTCTCTTGCAGTCTCCACCCAGTGGCCTGCTGCAGAGAGAGCTCACCCCCACCTCGCTGCCTTCCCCTTCAGCAGTTCTGCTTTCCCTACACAAGGCTGAGTGTCTCTGGTTGGGCTATCAGAGAAAGCCCAAGCAGGCCTCTCCCCCAGAATAACATCTGGACAAAGAGCACATTCCACTTTGCTGTCCTCTAAGGATCTCATGTCATCTACACACTTCTTGCTGGCGAGGGGGACACTCCAGGCCTCTCCAACTTACAACTTATGCTCCATCCCAGTAGAGTCTCAGCAAGGGATGCAGGTTTATCATGACCAAGGTCAGAGGTTCCTCAGAGATCACTAAGAACCCGAGCATGGCTCAGAGCGGAGCACCCATCAGGGCAGCCGAGAGCCAGGGCGCGAAGCCACACCATGCACCACAGGGAGGCTCTGCTCCATGCGACTACTCACGGCCAGTCTATAACTCTGCATCATTTTATCAAACTCCTCGTCTATCTTTTTATATTTCTCTTCCGTCTGGGGGGTCAGGGCAAACACCTCGTCCACCTCAGGGCTCTCACATTCCCTGTGCTTCTTGTGCAGCGCCTGGGGGGAAGGGGCCGGAAGGGGGGGCCAACAGAGACAGAGTGAGTGGGGCTCACCCCATAGCGCCGGAAGAGCCCGTCCAGCTCCTCGCTGGCGCGCCGGTACTTGTCCTCCAGCAGGGGGCTCTGTTCCAGCGAGTCCTCCCCGTCGGGCTCGGGGCTGTCGCAGCCGTTGAAGCCCTTCTTCCTCAGGGTCTGTAACCGCACCACTGCCATCAGCTGGGTGAGAGTCCTTCCCACCCGCCTCACCTGAGTTCCTCCCTAAGGGACCCCTCCTCTTCCCGGACCTCCTTCCTCAGGGTTCCCAGAATCTCCCCGGCCCCTGACTCAATGTAACCTGCCCCTCCCCACTGACAGTGCCTCCTGGGGCACCGTGTGAAGATCGGCTTGGTAGGAGCCATCGGAACACAGAGAACAGGGCTGGAAGGTGAGCCTAACCTGGGGGTGCCCTTGGCAGGGAGACATGTACTTCCAAAGTGACAGGCAGGGAGGGGGCTTCCAGGGGATGGGCTAAGGGGCTGGTGCCCTGGGCCAGTCCCTGCCTGACCACTCTGTGGTAAGCCCTGACCAGAAGGTACTGAGTTCTCCAGGGGGAGGTAGGCAGGGGTCTGCTCATCCCAGCCCCTCGGCTCTGCTTAGGAGAAGAGGAGGAACAGAGAAATAGAGATGGAGACAGAGAGAGCGGGGAATGGGATGTGGAAAAGGAAAGGGGGATGAACACTGAGTCCCTACTGTGACCACCCCACACTCTAGTGGAGGCACAGCTGGGGGATCTGCAGTAGACTCCAAAGCTGCCCTCTTCATGCTCAAAATAGCTTTACAGATACTTGCTTTGTCTTTAAAATGAAGGCAAATTTTACCTTCTAGTCTAGAGTAAATCTGTCTTCTCTAACATAAAAATAAGGGACTTTCCTCCAAATCTCTGAGTAGGCCTGTGGCTTCCCGGGCACCCTCTTCATCAGCACAAGTTCTGTACCCCCAAGGTGCACGCACCTCAGTGTGAGAAGCAGGGACATTCAATTCACACAGCACCCTTCAAAGCAGGTACTGGCCCCATTTTGTGGAGGTGGGCACCAAGGCTCGGGAAAGCCTAAGCACCTGCCCAAGGCCATGTGGCCAATAAAGGTCAGAGCTGAATTCCAAAGCCTATGTCCTTCAACAGTTCACAATGTTGGCTCTCTTTGAAACAGAAAATAGAACCACCAGGCCCACAAACAGACAGAGACAGCAGGAGAGATGGAAACAAAGAGGGAGATTTAAAAAAGGAAGAGGCAGGTGCAGAAGCACACCAAAAGATGGAGAAGTGGGGAAAGAGAGACAAAGAGAAAGACAGGATGCAAGAAGGCAAGAGAGATGTTACATCACGCTGGACGACAGAAGATAGACTCTTGGAGAGGGCAGGGTGGGTGTGGGCCGGCAGCCTGGCACTGGCCTGTTCACCTGAACTGCCCTTGCTTCCTCCTCAGGCCCTGGGTTTGTGTGATGGGAGGAGGGTTTGTATGTGTGTGCACACAGGTGAGGGGCTACAAGGGGCATGTATACCAGGGTGTGTGCAAAGGCAGGTCTGCGTGTACATGCAACGCGGGCATGTGTCCATGTGGATGCAGGCAGGGGGTGTGTCCTGGTGCCTGTATGTGTGGACCCACCTCGATGATGTCGGCATTGGTGCGGCTCTCGTGTGGCTCATTGTACTCCGTGTACTTGAGCAGCACCTTGTCCATGTCGGTGCTAGCGTACTGGAACAGCTTGTTGGAGTGGTTGAAGATGATGAGTGCGATCTCGCAGTCACATAGCACGCTCAGTTCATACGCCTTCTTCATCAGGCCAAACTTCCGCTTGGTGAAAGTCACCTGCAGAGAAGGATGGGTGGGCGGCCAGATCTGGCTCAGTTAAGGACTGACTGGGAGTCCCAGCCTACAGATGGCTGGACATTGCCCCTGCCCTCAGGAGCCCCCATTCTCAGTGTGACACAGCCCCTGGTCTCAGGAGTCCCTGGTTTGGGGAAGGACCAGGCTAGTGCTTGTAGGGCTGAGATACAGCCCAGAGTCCACTCACTGAAGGGGCAGGAGTCAGGTGGACAGAACTCCACACCTCTGTGCTGGAGGCTATGAAGAGGTCAGTGGAGAAGAAGAGGGGGAGGATTCCTGTTGGGAAATGGGGAGTGCCTGGGGGTATGACCTAAGGCTTGCATATGGCTCTGGGATGGGAACATGGGCTCATCTAGCTGTGGCAGCAGATGAGCCTTGGAATCCTGGGACACAGAGCTCCAAGAACTGCGAAGAGGTTGGGGTTCCTCTTCTCCCAATCTCCCTTCCCCTTCTGTAATAGCTCATAGTTTCCCCTCTTCCACAAAGCCCTCTTGGAATGCCTGGAGGGAGTAGAGGCAGAGGCCTGCTCCCTGCCCTCACCCGCTTTGTGTGGCTCTAAGACTTCCCTACCTGTCGGTTCCGCTCGTCGGTGATTCGCTGGATCTGAATCTTTTTCCTCCCCATCTTCTCTGAGGGTCGTCGTGCTACGGAGGGGAGGGGCTCGCTGGGTGGTGGATCTTGGCACCCCTTACACTGTGCTCATGAACAGTCCGGGAACAGTGCTCAGTTCATGGTCTGCAGGATACCTTCTGCACAGCCTCCTGGAAGGGGAGGGTCATGACAGGACTCTGAGCCCCCAAAACCCCCAGCCCTGCTCCCTGGGCACACAGGCCAGGCTCGCAGCACCCCTGTGAGAGGCTGGCAGCATCTGAGCTCCACCCTCAACATGAGGCAATGCTGTCTGAGGCAATGGTATGCCACAGCCAGGCACAAGCTGGAGCTCACACCAAGGCCCAGGCTCTTTCTCCTTGGTCACTGCTGTCCTCAGGCTCTAGGTCAGAGTAAATGGACCTCCTGGCTTCCAAGGGTCCGGGTCTCAGAGAATATCCCATGGCCCATTCTTCTCTCTAGAACCTGCTTGTAGTATGGACACCCGGGTGCTCCAGCTGCTCCTCTGGCCTAGAACTATGGTTCCCATTCTGGAGCTTGGACTGGAGACAATGCTGAGAGGACATCTGCCCAGTCAGTGAAAAACAAGCATGGTATACCTGGTGCCAGGATGGGATGTCTCTGGTGCCCCTGGCTCAAGAACATACCAGAGCTGGGGCCTGGAGTCCTGTAGTGGGGCCTGGGGTTGTAGCACCCACATCTCCCTTCAACTAGAGTTCCTCCACACCAATCTGTTTCCTCAGTGAGCTTAAGCCTAAGGTTTCTTTTTATTTTTATAAGCCTAGTCAAGTGCAGAAATGAGAAGAGAGGAAAGAGTAGAACAAGGAGTTCGATCGGTAACTGACTGTGAACAATCAATTGAGCTAACTCGCTACCTTCGGACACGCCCAGCCTAAGATTTTTGTTTGAGGAAAGAGTTGTGCTGCTTAAAACAATGAAACCATTCCTCTAGACCAGGAGATGGACATTTTGGGGCCAGATAGTAAATATTTCAGGCTTTGCAGACCATACAATCTCTGTTTTAACTACTCAACTCTGTCACTGTACCATGAAAGCAACAGACAGCAACACACAAATGAATGAGCATGAGCATGGCTGTGATCCAATACAACTACATTTACAAAAATGGGCATGGGCCAGATTTGGTCCACGGGCCATAGTTTGCTGATTCCTGCTCTAGCGGTATGTGCCACATCTAGAATCCAAGCTCAGTCTAACAGTAGTGCTTCCCAACCTTGCACATCTTGAAGCAGACAGAGAAAATACAGGGCCAAATGATACACCCTGGGGAGGCCACTGGCAGCCAGGCGGATGCAGGCACCAGGCAGAGAACTTGCTGTCTCAGGACACCTGTAACCCTCTCACAGCCCACTGGTTGAACAGCTCCATGCTAAAGCCAGGAGGAGAAACAGCCCCTGCACTGCACAACTCCAGGAGGCACCATAGGATGGGAGGGGGCTCAAGGATGGCAGCACAGCCTGGGCCAGAAAAGGTGCATTCTCTCCAGTGTGGGCAGTGCCTACACAGGCTGGGTGAGTCCTTGGGGACTGGAAGGGCCCAGGATGGGATGGAGGCACGGAATGACTTCAGGGCCCCTCCAGCTCTGATTCCAGGAGTCCTTGCATCAAAAGTGGAGCTTTCTGGAAGATGTTGGAAGAGGACAGTGAACTGGGGCCCAGGCTTTCTAAAGCCACTCTATTTGGGTCCTGGGAGAAGCCTGGACCAGAGAATGCCCACCCTCCCCTCCAGAGCTCCCCTTCCATAGAGCCCCATGCTCAGAGACCCTACTGCAGAGTCTAGGGATGTAGACCCCCATCCACTGTCTGATCCTCTGCACCCACTGCCCACTACCTGGGTAGAGGTGTTTGATGACAGAGAACAACCCCTACCCCTACCCCCCAGCTCCCACTGCCAATGGCTGCTGAGTTTCCCTGGAGTCTTTCCAGCCCAACTCAACATGGCCCCTAAGGTACCACAGTAGATGCTAAAGTTCATCCTTGGTCTCTTGCTCATGAAGGAAGCGGGAGAGGAAAGACATGGAATCTATGACTGGGGAGGAGCTGGGAATACCGGCCCCATTACCAAGACTGCTCCCCAGCCCAGCTGGAGAGCTTCTGCTCTGCCTGGATATCTACAGAAAACAATGCAGATAAATGCATTGCTCTTCAAATGATCCCCTACCTTTCTTCTTCTTTTTTTTTTTTTTTTTGGTGGTGGTGGTTGTTTTTTAAGATAGGGTCTTGCTCTGTTGTCCAGGCTGGAATGTACAATCACAGCTCACTGCAGCTTCAACCTTCCAGCCTCAGCCTCTCAAGTAGATGAGAATACAGGTGTGTGCCATCACACCCAGATAATTTATTAATAATTTTTTTTTTGTAGATACAGGGTGTCGCTATGTGGCTCAGGCTGGTTCAAACTCCTGGGCTCAAGTGATCCTCCTACCTCACCTCCCAAGTAGCTCGGACCATGAGTGTGTACTGCCATGCCCAACTAATTTTTTGACTTTTTTTTTTTTTTTTGAGACAGAGTCTCACTCTGTCGCCAACACTGGAGTGCAGTGGCATGATCTCGGCTCACTGCAACCTCTGCCTCCCTGATTCAAGCGATTCTCCTGTCTCAGCCTCCCGCATAGCTGGAATTACAGGCACGTGCCATCACACCTGGCTAACTTTTGTATTTTCAGTAGAGACGGGGTTTCACCATGTTGGTCAGGCTGGCCTCAAACTCCTGACCTCGTGATACGCCCGCCTCAGCCTCCCAAAGTGCTGGGATTACAGGCATAAGCCACTGCGCCTGGCCAATTTTTTGACTTTTGTAGAGACAGAGTCTCCTCCTATGTTGCCCAGGATGGTCTTGAACTCCTGGGCTCAAGCAGTCCTCCCGCTTCAGCCTCCCAAAGTGCTGGGGTTAGAGGTGTGAGCCACCTGTCCGGCCTCCTCTTCCCCTCCTCCTTGTCCTCAAGGTGCTCCATGGGCCCTGGGCCTCCTACTGGTACCCTGGGACAAGAGCAACACCAGCCCAGCCAGTCCTGAGTGGCCCAGCAGACACCTGGGCCCCAAACCACCTCCAGACACCCCATTCCTCACCTGTGACCCCAGTGTCTGCCAAGTTCCCATTGCAAAGGCTCCGGCCCGGGGATTTCAGCTTCCCTCCTTCCCGGTGCAATCCAAAGACCACGCTTTCTAGAGCTACAGTGGTGTGGGCTTTGGCAGGGAAGGTAGGGGAGGGCACACAGAGGGCAAGGGGAGGGGGCTACCAATAGTTGGCTTTTTAAATGGGATTCTCTGGCTTAGCCTTGAAAACTCAATCTAGACTGGTAAATGCAGGAACTACCGGCCTCCTCTGATTTAGAGCATCCACCTTCCCTCTCTCCCCTTTACCATCTCCCTCTCAGCACCTTTAGTTCATAACCAAATTCTTGCCGAGATGTAACCTCTGTCAGCTTATGACCAATACTGCCTCTTCCTCCGAACTGGAAGATAAACCTCTCTTTGTTTTCATGACCCTCAGAAAAGTCACTCTTGTAATCTTTCTAGCACTTACCACCATTGTGAATAACTATGATTCTGTGCTTTTATTTAACGCCTGGCTCCTCCATGAGGCTAAAGTTTCATGAGGGCAGGAATCACATCTGTCTTTTTTACTACTCTATCTCCTGTAAGAAGGAGGTCAGGAAATGTCTGTTGAAAAGAAGAAAATACTATTTCATTGTTGTGGCGCTGTGAGAAGTCCTTCTTGCAGTCTAACCTCCAATGGTCTTGCTGCAGTACCAGTTCCTCTCATTCTATCATCTATGGAGCTAGAACCCTTCCTCTCCCAACGGCCCCTGAAGATTTGGACACCACCCACCCTCCAACCACGCCTGGTATCCTAGTCCTCAACCCTCCCCACCCTCAGGTTGGCTGGTGCAGAGGGTGAGACTCTAAAGTCTTCTAAGGAGCAGCCCTGAGCACATGGAGATGGAGAGGATGGGGTTGCTTAGGCAACTGTCGCCTGGCAACCAGCTCCCTGGCTGATCTCCTACACCGCCCCCCCCACCCCCGCCTCAAGCTGGGGGAGCTGGGACGAGAGAGGGATCAGGGCTGAGAAGGCAGGGAAGCCACAGAGATTCACTGAGCATCGTCTGACAGAGAGAAGTCAGGGTTAAAAAGACCAGGCCCCATGTATCCCCACTCCCTATCAAGGTAGCCCAAAGCACATTTTATAATTCCATGCTTCCCAGGGCCCTTTCCCCACTGCTGCTCCCACCTCTGTGCCAACACTGCCAGAGGAGGAGATGCCCCTGCCTTAGGCAGTCCTTCCTCCCATCTAACCACAAACCTCTCTACAAAGCAGGCGTAGTGTGTACTGACCTTTTTTCCTTCTGCTCTCCATTCCACATTGCTGCAGGGTCTTTGAAAGCCCTGGGGCAACAACATGAACTCAACCCTGATTTTGGAGGAAGGGGCAGCTGGGGCCTAGGTAGGCACAAAATACCCTAACCTGACCCTATCCAAGGTTTGGAGGCCTATCCTGGCTAAACCTCCCTCCTATACAATTAGGAAGGTTTTAATGAACACCTGGACCTCCTTAATTAGCCCTCTGCCTAATTACCTAACCAACTGGCAGGAGCCAGAGGCCTGGGCATCTGTTCTCCAGATGTGAGTGTCTCCTTTCCAGCCTCCCCTGGCCCCATTCTTCTCCTGTCTGGTCTACTCCTCCTCTAGGAAGCCCTCGCAGATGATCTGGCCCTTGGCTGCTTCTTTTCTAACCCTCTCTCCTTCACCCTGCCTGGTATCTGGAGCCCAGGGCTTGGGAGGACTTGGGCTACCAAAGAGATGGGGTTAGTCAGGATGGCCTTCCTGTTCCGATGGCCCCAGGGCCTGCCGAATCCTGACCTCAGGCCACAGCTATGACTCCTCGGGCTGACAGTATCTATGTCACCAAAAGTTCCCCTTCAAAGGCTCTCAAGGCTCTGGCTGCTTGACTCTGATTCACCTGACTCCGTGGACAGGACAAGGGTGGGGCAGGGTGAACCTCGTGGGTGGCAGGGGGCTGGGACAGGCAGAGGCAGGGCCTTCCTGGTAGACATGTGAGAAGCAAAGATGGGGAGGACATTTGGCAATGTCCACCCATATCTGTTCCCATCCTAGTGGTCCCAAGGCTCAAAGAA